CACTTAGTAATGAACGACCAACTGTTTTTCATGTTTGGATCATCAACATTTTATACTTCTTCTTTTTCCCTTTCTAGAAACATAAGTGTGATTTTAGACCAAAAATATCACCATAGGTTTTGGTCAAGAAGTGACGAAGTGACATCAGAACCACAGTAGTGATTTTGCCGACTAAAACAACACACTTGAGTGAGCCAAATTTATTTAAAAGTGATCAATAGGAACGGCAACTGTGTCAGGCATCAGCATCAAATTGTGCAGGTTTATTTTATATCTACCGCCTTTGAAAATTAATCTGACAACTCTCATTATGGGCACTTGAGCGCTGCTAGAGCTGCTTGTGCTGCTAGCTGCTAGCACTGCTCACGTGCCCGCTACCATTATTATTTTTATTATTATTATTATTATTATTATTATTATTATTCATCCATTTTCTTATATGCTTTTTATTATTATTATTATTATTATTATTATTAGTTGGTAGTAGTAGTAGTCGAAGTAGTAGCAATAGTATTTTGCAAATGTAGTAAAAATGTAGTAAAAATAAACAAGTACATGTCCAGTACATAGTAATCACAGCATTTGCCATGAACCTCAAAATTGAGTACAGGTGTGTCATTTTTTATGCTCTTTCTTTAAAGGTTTTTACATATTAATTGGTGTCTGCACCTTCAGTTGATTGGACTTGATTTGCGGTCCAAGGTGGCTAGGTTAGACCAGGGCCCATAGTTGACAATGCATGTCAGAGCATAACCAAGCATAAAGTCGAAGAAATTGTTCTTAGACCTGTAAGCCAAGATTGTCTGCAGAGAGAATATCTAGAGAAGGGTGAAGAAATAAATCTGCTCCTTTGAAATTCTCAATGAGCACAACAGTCTCTTTGGCCCATAAATAGAAGTTCAGAAAAAACAGCACTTCTTCTCGAGATGGCAAGCAGTCTAAACTGAGCAATAGGGGGAGAATGTTGATAGTCAGGGAGGTCACGTTGAACCCATGATCACTCTGTCAGAATTTCAGCTTTCTTCTGTTGCAAAGCGTGCGGAAGTACAACCACCGTTGCAGCATCCCCCATTCAAGCTTGTATGGCAGAGGGGCCAGAGAGAAGCCACCGTCTAAACCCCAAATCCTCTCCGGACAGTATTGACAGTCACACCATTTTCCACTTCTGTCAAGGTTCTAAGGTGGTTATGGATGGATGGATGGTCCATTGTGCTAAATTCTCTGCAAAATACAGCGTGTTCTTTTGGTTCAAATGCTTCAAGTTGACTGCTGATATATAGGTCAAGCACTTCTGCCAATACGTGATAGACAGTCTGTAATATTTTGTGTTGGCTTGTGGTAATCGGCCATCTGCATTTTAAATCTCTTCCTTGTGTGACAGATTAAACTCATTCACTCCCAAAGACGTTTTTATATGTCTTTGGCTGGTACTGAATGAGTTAATACTCGTCTGGCCTTTCTGATACCGTTTTCTGAGTGAGACCCAAAACATATATATATATATATATATATATATATATATAGTTTACATAAAAGTTTCCCTCCCTGTCGTTTAGGTCCGATGACTAAAATTCAGTTTGTCATGGTTAGGATGGAGAACGTTTTCTGACATCAAGGATATGACATCTAAGGTACAATTACTAAGTCCATCCATTGGCTATCTGTGGTTTTATTGTTTTGCTCTTGATTGTAAAGTGCCCTTGAGTGTTGTGAAAGGCGCTTATACTGCAAATAAAATGTACAGTGAAACTCATCTACAACAAAATCATGTTTGCAGCAAGAAATTTTTCACAACAGGGGGCTTTTCACTGTAGCAAATTTTATCTCAGACGTAAACATGAACACACACAAAAAACGTATATGTGTACTTTTTGTTTTTATTCCAATAGTGCATAAGTATGAGCATACACTTATTTGACACTTCAAATAGCCAGCATAGTAAGAAAAAAAGCAAAAGAAATTGTGAAATTTACGATCAGCATTTACTTTGACTTAAATCAATTTATTGCATGTCTTTTATTCTGCTTCCTCCATCTTACATTTTTATTACCTTTATCCTGTCTTCACGCGTTTAAGCTTTTCTTTTCTTAACTCATTGGTATGCAAAGGTCCGTTCTGTCGGCATTCTAGCAATGTAACGTTCGTGCTGCGTCTGAAACAAATACTTCCTGTATTACTGCACATGTAAAGCAGTGTGGTGGTTGCTGTCGCCATTTCCGAACGAAGCACTAGAGGTCGCTGTGGCATGCTGAGGTTGGATTAGACTTCTGCGGAAGGCTTGTTTTCGTTGCAGTGAATCTCGTTGCGAAGCAAGAGCAGAGAAAAAGATTTTGTATAACGGAACAGGGGGACATTTCGTTGTAGGGGGAGCAGAAAAGCGGGAATGGCTTTCATGCATGAAAATGTTTTCACACTTGGGGGTATTTTCGCCCATATAGCTTTCGTTGTAGAGGGGTATCACTGTATTATTATTATTATTATTACTATTATCATTATTATTATTATTATTGTTGTGTCACCAGGAGACACAGACATGTACAACTGTGTAGCATCAGCGTAACTGTGGAAGTTGATTCCATGTCTCCAGATGCTATCACCAAGAGGGATCATGTACAGGTTAAAAAGCAATGGGCTTAAAATCAAACGCTGCGGCACACCACATAGGATTCAATGGACCTTAGAGAAACAGGTATCCAAATAAAGCATAAAAGCCCTGTCTGTGAGGTTGGATGTGAACCATTTGTGGACAGCGCTCGAGAGCAAACTGAGCATTTTGACCGATTGTCAGTTGTGGGAAATCTTGTCACATCGCTACTTCAAAAAACAATACTTCAACATTAATCAGAATGACAATCATCTTTATTGGCCAAATGTGTAGAACACACAAGGATTGATAACAAGCAATTACAATGAACAGGGACATAACAAATAAGTATTGACACTGAGCTGTTAAGTGTGGCTCTCAAAAGGTCTTAAGTGTGTGTATTTTAAACTGGTGGATTGGAGGGGTATCTCCAGTCAGACTTGTCTCCAACCATTACACTGCAGATCACTCTATATGCCTTACATAACTTCTAGGATCCCCTCTAGCATAATGTGCTAAACAATGGGCATCGGATTCAAACTGATGTCAAACCACACACCTTGGAACAGTAGAACTGCCTTTAGATCTCCATTTACATGGTAAACTGATTTTTGTGTTGTTTTTTTTTCCAGTTTACCAACCCCCTAGCTGATGAATGCCGACGGTGTTTTTCCTGAACTTTCGGTATTCTAAGCATAGGGCATAAATTAATCAAAAATCGGGCATGGTTCAGACTAAAAATACACATCTTGACACATTGCAAGCTTTATTTGTGCATTCCGCTATGCACCCAAATTTGTCAAATACATTTGAGTTCGTCAATTAGTGCACAACAAAGTTTAAATGTACAAGCATTGCACTTCAATTTGTATGTGGCTGGTTGGGTAATGGGTGGATGGATGAAAATGGGGTTGACAGTGTAACTACCAGATTTGCAAAAAACACTTGAAAACTCAGAGGTGCAAGCTAACTATCACTGTTGACTTGTTGGTAAGGTACAATCGTTGAGTATATTGACTGGAATTAGTTTTGAAAAGGAATTTCTTCAGGTCATCTATAGGGGTGTTCACACGGCAACTTTTTCTCCGGTGTAGCACCGGGGCTACCCCCGTAGAGCATTCACACATACAACGTTATACCGGTGTAGTCCCTGAAAACAGCTTCAACCGGAGCAAATTTAACCCTGCTCAGAAGGTGGTTCAAAAATTTACTCCGGAGTAAATGCTAGTTTGCGAGGCAGCACCGATATAAAATGGTACATGTGAACGCTACAGGGGTAGACTTGCTACGCACGAGAAGAGTTGATTACATACGAGTAGAATGTGTTGCTTTCATGCTCTGTTGTACTTCCGCCATCTTTCCTTTTGTAGAGACTGGACTGTCTCGGAGTTGTTTGAGGAGTTTGTTCCTTTCTTGTGTGTTCACCCCCCCGCGCTCCATAGAATTCCCCATATAATTTATTTTGTGATTTCCTCTCTTGATTTTCTGTTTGCCGCATTACGTTTGCTTTTCTGAGTGTCATTGAAGTCATCGTTGATTTACGTTTTTGGGGGCGGTCATTGAATGCCTCTTGAGCAGAAGGCATGGAGAAGGAGAAGGATGTGTCTGTAGTTGCTTGAGTTAAATAAATTAATAAAGTCTATGTTTTAAAAGGAACCAACACGACAGCTCTCTTTGTTTCAGAGCTGCAACACTTTCTCTCTCTCATCCTTTTACGGTGTCTGATAGATCACAGCATTGATTTGTCCGGAGAAGTATAAACCATGGTTTTTAAATATGTCACAAACAAGGCGGTGAAAAGGAAGTACACTTTACGCACGCGCATGCTTTTATTTACGTATTATTACTTACTTATTATTATCGTATTGCACGGCCGCAGAAACTGCCCGTGTGAACGCAAGTGGGGCTGCACCGGGGTTAACGTGCTTCTCTTTAGTAAGCAGCTTTTTATGTGTGAACGTTCCACAAAATTTACACCGGTGTAAGATATATCACAACAAAATACGTCGGTGCAGCACCGATGCAAATGTGTGCCATGTGAACACCCCTTGTGTGTGTAATTAAGCAATGGAAAGGCACTCTGATTGACCTTGATTAACACATGGCCAGACACTGGAAAGAAAAGCATCTCGCAGTGCTTATTCCGAATTCCACAGGAAGGGTTTTATGTTTTCTGTGATCTTTGGAGAGCTGAGAACTCCCAGAATTTAATATTATATGCTATACTAAAATATATATATTACAATAGTTTGTTAATCATATTTTGGCTGCAATAGGAGACCACCTATTATTTTACGTCTTCTGTCATTGTTTGTCTTGTGTAGCTTGACTGTATTTGAACCTTTTGTATACAGACTCATCGCAGAACATCCAGTACTATATGAATTAAAAGGTTTTTTTTTCTTCTTTTGCTCAGCCAAGCTAAGCAGCCAAGAATTGTACAACAACTTCACCAATAACAACATGGCAAATCCACGATTGTCTCCTTTGCCTAACCTCATCGTTGTCCTACCTCTGGCTCAGATCAAACAACCCATGTCCCTCGGCACTATCACTAAACGAACTGGGTATGTAACACGCGCACACACACACACACACACACACACACACACACACACACACACCAAATTATATGTGTGTGTGTGTGTATATATATAGTGTGTGTATACATCCTATTTCTAATATTCTAATACATAGTAATTTTGTTCTCTCAATGGTAAAGTTTTTTTAAAATCAGATATACTGTATTGGTAGTGGTCGGTTCTCAATATCACAGACTGCACAGGTATAAGACAATATTTACAAGAAATGGGGCTCCCAAAAAATATAGATGGAAGAAAGAAATGTAATGGAGCAGTAAGGGCCTGCCAGTCAAGTGATGAATGTGATGTGTGATGGTGCAAAATTGTGAGTGCGTACACGTGACATTATTTGTTGGGCACAAATGTCACCTACACCTGACTAGATGAATATACTGCATCTATTTTTAAAAAATTTTGAGAGAAAATTGTATGGAAGATCAAACTCCTTGGCCCGTGTTTGAAGACGGATCAGGTGGGCTACCGACATTGCAATGGATCCTTGATGACCCGCTTGTGAGGCCCTCCTGGCCTGGGCTGCGCGACATGGTGCGCAACCACTGAGATCAATCCGTGCATGGGGCAAGGGGGCCCATCCGAGCACTTTACCGCGGCCCTGGTGAAAGCAGCAAGGTCTAAGCGGGGGAGTGTTGTGGAACAAGGGTTCGCTGGGGCACCAAAGCCCCGCGAGCCCGCACAGGGCACTGTTACAGGGGAAGTGAGCCCGGCCGGGGTCACACGGGGGATTCCACGCTCCACCGGGTTTCTACAGTGCTCCGCCATGTTGAATCCCCAGCGCGGGTCCCGTCCCTCAACGGTTTCACGCCCTTTTGAGAGCAGTGCAAAATTGGTGATTTTTTTTTTTTTTTTTTTTTCATGGAACATTTGGCAGGCGGCCCGGTGGTTGAATACTTAGCGTGTCAGCCTCACAGTGCAGAGGTGCAGGTTCCGATTCCGGCTACGGCCTTCCTGTGTGGAGTTTGCATGTTCTCCCCGGGCCTGTGTGGGCTTTCTCCGGGTCCTCCGGTTTCCTCCCACATTCCAAAAGCATGAATGGCAGGTTAATGGAACACTCTAAATTGTCCCTACGTGTGAGCGTGAGCACGGATGGTTGTTTGTCTATTTGTGCCCTGCGATTGTCTGGCAACCGGTTCAGGGTGTCCCCTGCCTCTAGCCTGAAGACAGCTGGCATAGGCCCCAGCACGCCCCGCGACTCTTGTGAGGATAAGCGGATCAGAAAATGGATGGGATTGAATGTTTGGCTCTACATGGTTACAGTGATCCGTCGCTATATCGCGCTTCATTTATCGCGGCTTCAATACGTCGCGTCTTTTTTTTTTTCCAAAGTACTGTTTTCAGAAAAAATTGCCGAATGACTCAGAGGTTATGTACATGGCTGGATGCATGACTGGTTCCCGGCACGATGTCGACCAATGACAGCACGAGCGGATTTATTCCGTGAGCTGATTGGCTGTGCATCTTCACAGCCCCGCCCAGCACCTTCCATTTTGTCTGATCATTTGGGTTACTCTCTGATCAGTCTCTCTCCCATGGTTGCCTCTGATCAGTTTCTAGTCACACTGTTGTGTTTGCTACGTGTGTGGCTGGGGTGGTGGTGGTGGTGGTGGTGGTGGTGGTGGGGGGGTGCATAATCGAGAGAGAGAGAGCACGTGTGAGACCGAAAGCGAAAGTGAGTGCAAGCGAGCTACTTAGAAAGAGAGGGGGTGATTGGGCTTGTCTGAAAAAAAGCAGCACTTGTCTCGTCGCCTCCTCCTCATCAATACGGATTACTTGTCTTATCATAAACACATCGGCTGCGCGGGTATTGCTGTCCAGCAGCTAGTTGGAGGCAAACGGCGGCTACACTTTCAGAGCGGCGTAATGTGAGGCGAACACGAGTCTCTTTGTCTCTCTCAAAAGGCAATGCTGATGAATATTAATTACTGTATAAGGTTTTATAGTTAAAGATGTAAGTAAATACTGTATGTGTTCTGCTGTAGTCTTTGTCTCACATGTGTAAAGTATAAATACTGTTTACATATTTTAAACATGCCGGTACCCGCATATACTTACACAAAATTCCTAGGGGGGGAGCCAACGCTACATCACGGTTTTTCACTTATCGCGGCAGGGTCCCTGTCCCCATCAACCGCGATAAGTGAGGGAAACACTGTATTTTGTCTTAAACCCCTCCAAATACAAATAGGAATGATTTCCCTCAGTAGGATGTCATTATCATTTTCTGCATCGGTGCATCACCATTCACTCAGGGGAGGCCTTATTTTAAATGTATTTGTTTATGCAGCTGGACAGCATTTTCTCATGCACGTTGATGCTATTTACATAATACAATCAAATAAGTCTTAAATTAATAAAGTGTGAGGCAGCAGGTTTGCACCCTAGTTATTTTTGATATCACAAGTTTCAACTCCCACCACACGAGCAAGAAAGAAACCATATGTCCATCTGTTCATTCTGGCACCTCTTACTCTGGCACCCAAGTAATCCAAACTTTAACAGCCCGACCTGATTGACTCTGTGGATGAGTGTATGTGACAGAGAGAAAAGGATCCAGCAGCTGTAGTTACATCTGTATGAGCACATCCTTTTGGCAGGGCAGCAGAAGAACACGCCAGCTGCTTAACCTACATTCTGAACCAAATGTACTCTTTGTACCCTGTGCTATGCTCCCAACCCCACACAATCTCAGATGTTTTGCTCTTTTCACGCCGAGATCGATGTCAAGGAGTTGGATGAGTGTAGGCAAACCTCGGCTCCTTGAAATCCAATAAAACATTGTGTTTTCTGTTTGCAAAATTCGGCAGTATTAGTCCGAGCTGACTCGAGCTGTTGATGAAAACTCACAGGTCACAAAAGGTGACCTTGTCACAACTTGGTATTTGTTTTTGATTAGTTGCAATGGCCATTTCATCTGAGAAAAATCACCTTGTACAGCTTTAACATGCCAAAATATCTGCCTGTGTCAAATTGGGGATTTTGCAAGCAGACAAACAACTAGACACTCATCCCATCTGCACCCAGGAATGATGTTAACACAAATGAAAATCCAAATGGAAAGATTGTCACACACAAAAACAAAACACACTCCCCACCAAATCCAGTTGGAGACATTTTTACGCAAATGCAGAAAGAGTGCAGCCAAGTTAATGAGAAAGACAACAGAGAGAGGATGAATGAGACCTTTTGACCTCATGCAGATGTGCCCTGAGATTACTCTAATACATATATGACAGCCAAACAAGTACTAGTGAAATTGCCGTTCAGAGCCCCAGAGACCTGGGCTGCAAAGGGGCTTTAAGGCTGGTGCGACAGCACATGGCAGAAAGCAAAACTGTTTTTTTGCAAATCACCTCACTTTCCTTTTCTTTAATGGCCTAGGCTGAGCTGCTATTAGGGGAAACGGTTTAAAAGATGAATGTGTGAACTGTTATTCTTTGGGAGTGGGGTCATCACCCTCACAAGTCAATTACATGCACTTTTTTTTTTAAACCATTTTCTACTTGTATTCTCCCTCCCTCACCCTCTGTAGCACTCACTAATGCACCCAGTCATAGTCTTGATTCCTTTTCAGTCGAAATGACCCGTGCTCTGACTCAACATGCGTCAAGCCTTTCTCAGCTCACTTTACACAAACTATTGAATGAATATTTATTGATGTATTCATCCATTCATTCGTTCATCTGCGAATGGCTGGCAACCATTTCAGGCTGTACCCCGCCTACTGGCCGAAGTCAGCTTGGATAATCTCCAGCACGCCCATGACCCTCATGATGATAAAATTACTTGTTTGTTTATTTATGCGCCGCACCGGTGGCCGAATGGTGCAGGTTTCGATTCTGGCTCCAGCCTTCCTGGGTGTAGTTTGCATGTTCTCCCCGTGCCTGCGTGGGTTTTCTCCGGGTACTCCGGTTTCCACCCACATTCCCAAAACATAAATGACAGGTTAATGGAATACTCTAAATTGTCCATAGGTGTGAGTGTGAGCACGGACTGTTGTTCGTCGATATGTGCCCTGCAATTGGCTGGCAACCAGTTCAGGGTGTCCCCTGCCTAATGCCCACAGACAGCTGGGATAGGCTCCAGGATGCCCCGCGACCCTTATGGGGATCAGAAAATGGATGGACAGATGGATGGATGTTTATTTATGTATCGAACATTCAGTCAGAAAAAAACATTTCAAAGGGCAAGGGAGGTAATTTACTATAGGAAGAGCAAAAACCGCAAAGAAGGTAATTCAAGATAAAATGATGCAGTTAAACACAGTGATGATAACATTGCAAAGTAACCATCATTTTGACAAAGGTAACAATATTTCTCATTAAAGACTCTGGGTCCACTTTGGTTCCTTAAAGTACGACCACGGTCTGTTGTGTTATGCTTGTTGGAACCTCAGTGCTGGCTGTCTTCCAAAACAAAATGTCCTTTTGAGATTATGAGTCTTGACACAGGCCGGATTGTCACCATCATAAATTATAAATTCATATCCAGCACAGCAAATGTTTTAAAACATTTCAACTTGTGCAAGTGCAAGCAGACATGAACAAACCAAATTATGATGTTAAAAATAATACTGTAAAACGCCATTCTAGCATGATTTTTGTTGTCTGCAGCTCTGGAACCACGGGCACATACTAGAGAAGAGTGAAGGTATCTTAATGATAAGAATCAAAAACCGGTGGTTCCCAGTCATTTGATCAATTTGTTAGTTTGCTTCCCTGACAATTACGAGTTTCGAGTCCTATTACTTTGTGTTAGGGTGGTTCTGTTTGTGATCAACAGGTGGCACTGTAGGGCTGCCCCTGCAGTGGCACACCTGTTGGTCATTGTATCATTTGTTAGTGTTTGGTTAAAAGGACTAGCATGCCCGCCGACCAGTCGGTGTCGGATCATTGTGTGTGTGTGTGTGTGTGTGTGTGTGTGTGTGTGTGTGTGTGTGTGTGTGTGTGTGTGTTTCTGTGCACGCGTCA